ATATATATATATATATATATATATAGGCTATATGTATATGAGCGCAGTATTATTACCTATTTGATGTATAGCCTACATTATTTGTGTTTCCAGTGCTAAGCAGAAAATTTATTTGAATATATATATATAGCTCCATACCAAAGCTACTTTCATTTGATTTATATATTTTATATATATATATGTGTGTATGTATATGCATTATATAATTATATAATTATATGTATATAGTTTTTCTGATACTTGTTATTTGCTTTATTGAATTATGGCCACAATTCTCTGCTAAACAGCACACGTTTGTTATCGACTATCGTGTAGCATACAACTGCGATTTGTTGATATTGAAGAGTAGAGGAAAAGATGATTTTGACCACTTATTTTAAATCAGCTTTTTACGATAAACTCAGCGTGAAGGTATTATGTCACTACGGCGAAACAAGCGTGCTATACTGCTATGATATCTGTTTACATTATTTAGACCTAATTGTATTTTCGTGTGGGCAATCAAACTCTGTAGAAATCATGTACAGTGGTTATGTTATTCACGGATTTAAAATGATTTGGTCGTAGTAGGAAAATAAATGCATCATTGGATACGGAATGTCTGCCACAGGACAACCACCTTTATACATGATTTGATCCATCTTTTACATTCTACACAGAACCATAAATACAGTGAGGTAATTGTCCTGATAATATTCCTCGAGCTGCCAAATTTGCACCCAACTGGTAAATTCTCTTTCATAGTTTTAACGCGAATTTATCGACCATTTGGCGTAAACATCTTTTATTGCCCAATGAACAAACGTAAAGGAGTACAGCAGGCACCGAGAAATCGCTATACAATTTGTATGTCTTAGGTGGGAACAGCCTTTAAAATAGTGTCTTTCACTAGACGTCCTAGACTCAAACAATCTTTCACTTCAAGCCCAGGAAAGCATTTCTGGTTGTTAACTTACTCGACTGAGCATAGGTGTCAGTTGCGGCTGGCATTTGTTCCGTGAGATTTAATAGTTTGGTAGCCACCTGATAGCCCATGGCCCACTGATTTGGAATAACAGTTTGGTCTTGTCTACAGCAAGCTTCAATGCATCGATCAACCCACGATCCATGTATCCTCAAGATGACGTGGACCTCCCTTAAAGTGGTTCTCTCTTAACGCACATTGTCAAAGTAGCGCGTAGGTTACGCGTCTAGCTCTAAATACGCTAGCCGGCGAATCTCAACTAATCGCAAGAATGAGAGCGCAGAATGCTTACATTTCAGTCGACATTAATTATTTGAATATAAACCAAACAGAAATACGACTTCAGCATATTTATGAAAATATCCCATTCTTAGTCTCGTTTTCGTTTCTTTCCGAAAAGGTAACTAACGCAGGCACGTCTACAGAGGTAGTGAGACAAAGAAACAAATACACGCACCGCCTTTATGTTGACAACAGTGGTTTCTTAGTTTCAAGTTGTCTAGAATTGTAGCTGCATAGCTGTGTATTTGACACTCTCAGTATTCATCTTGTGAACATAAATTATTGATTTGTGTCGAACTATTGAATGTGACATTTATATTGCACATTTATCATATGAAAAGCATCGTCAAGGAAAAAAAAATATTGTAATGAGGAGCAGTAACTGATCAAGAATAACTCATAGACATAATGCTTGTAGGCCTACAAAATAAATTAATTTATATGATTTATTGTTGTTTTCATGAGTTTGATCAACTTCTTTTAAAATGGCAGCACGATGTTTATTTTTTTTCGATATGACAGCAGTCAACTGACAAATTTGAATTTGGACATCTTGTATTTTATTCATATTTTATGCTGAAAACTTGCAAGCTTAATTTACCACGATAGTAGATACGGAACAAAATACAAAACACGTCGTAATGACTACGGTACGTTATTTCATCATAACGTGTCTAAATAGATACAAAGAAATATTCATATTTCATAGGCCTTGTCAGCGTTACTGCCAGTGCGGACACAGCATTAAATCTCAACGACGCACCTCCATGGAAACAGAGTTCAATACATATGCCCTCCTAATAACCATTGGAAATGTTGATAAGACATGATAGTAAATTATGTATTCTATATAAACTCCTATTACATACACACACTATATATAT